CTATGAAGATAAAGAATCTGTCTTCAGAAGAGCAGTTTCTTATTTGTCGTATTGATTTTGTGATATGTTACTATTGGTCACCTCTTTGAATCAAGCCTATTGTATTACAGACGTCCCTGACAGTAAATTGATGGACAGCAGGTACTGTCTGTAGCCTGAGTCAAATATAGCTTTAATACAACTTTTTGTGTAATGTTGGACTAGAATAAGTATGGTGGTCATTATAATGACACACTGATATACCTTACTACTGATGCTGTGGTCTTTATGTTTCAGTCTGGTGGTCATTATAATGACACACTGATATACCTTACTACTGATGCTGGGGTCTTTATGTTTCAGTGTAGTGGTCATTATAATAGGTATAACATACATAAGACCCTAACTACTGACGCTGTGGTCTTAATGTTTCAGTGTGGTGGTGGTCATTATAATAGGTATAACATACATAAGACCCTAACTACTGACGCTGTGGTCTTTACGTTTCAGTGTGGTGGTCATTGTAATGGGTATAACATACAGATCTACCTAACTCCTGACGCTGTGGTCTTTACGTTTCAGTGTGGTGGTCATTATGATGGGTATAACATACAGATCTACCTAACTACTGACGCTGTGGTCTTTACGTTTCAGTGTGGTGGTCATTGTAATGGGTATAACATACAGACTTACTTTAATACTCATGCTGTGGTCTTTATGATTCAGTGTGGTGGTCATTGTAATGGGTATAACATACAGATCTACTTTACTACTGATGCTGTGATCTTTATGTTTCAGTGTGGCGGTCATTATAATGGGTATGGGTATAACATACAGACCTACCTTACTACTGGCGCTGTGGTCTTTATGTTTCTGTGTGGTGGTCATTATAATTGTTATAACATACAGACCTACCCTACTACTGACGCTGTGGGCTTTATGTTTCAGTGCGGTGGTCATTATAATGGTTATAACATACAGACCTACCCTACTACTGACGCTGTGGGCTTTATGTTTCAGTGCGGTGGTCATTATAATGGGAGTAACATACAGACCTACCTTACTACTATAATGAGTATAACATACAGACCTACTTTACTACTGAAGCTGTGGTATTTATGTTTCAGTGTGGCGGTCATTATAATGGGTACAACATACAGAACTACCTTACTACTGATGCTATGGTCTTTATGTTTCAGTCTGGTGGTCATTATAATGAGTATAACATACAGACCTACTTTACTACTGAAGCTGTGGTATTTATGTTTCAGTGTGGTATAAGTATGGTGGTCATTATAATGTGTATAACTTACCAACATACCTTACTCCTGATGCTGTTGTCTTTATGTTTCAGTGTAGTGGTCATTATAATAGGTATACCATACAGACGTACCTAACTACTAATGCTGTGGTCTTTATGGTTCAGTGTGGTGGCCATTATAATGGGTATAATATACAGACCTACCTAACTACTGACGCTGTGGTCTTTATGTTTGAGTGTGGTGGTCATTATAATAGGTATACCATACAGACGTACCTAACTACTGACGCTGTGGTGTTTATGTTTCAGTGTGGTATAAGTATGGTGGTCATTATAATGTGTATAACTTACCAACATACCTTACTCCTGATGCTGTTGTCTTTATGTTTCAGTGTGTTGGTGATTATAATGGGTATAACATACATTCCTACCTTACTACTGACACTGTGGTCTTTATGTTTGAGTGTGGTGGTCATTATGATGGGTATAACATACAGATCTATCTTACTACTGACGCTGTGGGCTTTATGTTTCAGTGCGGTGGTCATTATAATGGTTACAACATACAGACCTACCTCACTACTGATGCTGTGGTTTATGTTTCAGTGTGGTGGTGGTCATTATAATTGTTATAACATACAGACCTACTTTACTACTGAAGCTGTGGTATTTATGTTTCAGTGTGGTATAAGTATGGTGGTCATTATAATGGTTATAACATACAGACCTACCCTACTACTGACGCTGTGGTGTTTATGTTTCAGTGTGGCGGTCATTATAATGGGTATACCATACAGACCTACCTTACTACTATAATGAGTATAACATACAGACCGACCTAACTACTGATACTGTAGTCTTTATGTTTCAGTGCGGTGGTCATTATAATGGTTATAACATACAGACCTACTTTACTACTGAAGCTGTGGTATTTATGTTTCAGTGTGGCGGTCATTATAATGGGTACAACATACAGACCTACCTAGCTACTGATGCTGTGGTCTTTATGGTTCAGTGTGGTGGTCATTGTAATGGGTATAACATACAGATCTATCTTACTACTGACGCTGTGGGCTTTATGTTTCAGTGCGGTGGTCATTATAATGGTTATAACATACAGACCTACTTTACTACTGAAGCTGTGGTATTTATGTTTCAGTGTGGCGGTCATTATAATGGGTATCACATACAGACCTACCTAGCTACTGATGCTGTGGTCTTTATGGTTCAGTGTGGTGGCCATTATAATGGGTATAACATACAGATCTACCTTACTACTGATGCTGTGGTCTTTATGTTTCAGTGCAGTGGTCATTATAATAGGTATAACATACAGACGTACCTAACTACTGATGCTGTGGTCTTTATGTTTCAGTGTGGTGGTCATTATAATGGGTATAACATACAGATCTACCTTACTACTGATGCTGTGGTCTTTATGTTTCAGTGCAGTGGTCATTATAATAGGTATAACATACAGACCTACCTTACTACTGACACTGTGGTCTTTATGTTTCAGTGTGTTGGTCATTATAATGGGTATAACATACAGACCTACCTTACTACTGATACTGTGGTCTTTATGTTTCAGTGTGGTGGTCATTATAACGGGTATAACATACAGACCTACAGTTGTACCTTACTACTGATGCTGAGGTCTTTGTGTTTCAGTGTGGTGGTCATTATAATGGGTATAACATACAGACATACCTTACTACTGACGCTGTGGTCTTTATGTTTCAGTGTGGTGGTCATTATAATGGGTACAACATACAGACCTACCTTACTACTGACGCTGTGGTCTTTGTTTTAGTGTGGTGGTCATTATAATGTGTATAACTTACCAACATACCTTACTCCTGATGCTGTTGTCTTTATGTTTTTATGCCCCTTGCCATAAAATAGGGAGTATCTAGTATCCGTCCCAACCCATCCGGACATGTCCCTTCCCAACCCGTCCGGACATGTCCCGTCCAAACCCGTCTGGACATGTCCCGTCCAAACCCGTCCGGACATGTCCTGTCCAAACCCTTCCAGACATGTCCGTCCCAACCCTTCCGGACATGTCCCTTGATCAAAGTGGTTGTAACTATTTATAGAATATCAAACACTGAGACAAACAGCCATTACAATGTTATAGTGAGAGTTGACCAGGGCTGTCACAGACAGACAGTCATTATAATGTTATAGTGAGAGTTGACCAGGGCTGTGACGGACAAACAGACATTATAATGTTATAGTGAGTGTTGACCAGGGCTGTGACAGACAAACAGACATTATAATGTTATAGTGAGAGTTGACCAGGGCTGCGACAGACAAACAGTCATTATAATGTTATAGTTAGAGTTTACCAGGGCTGTGACAGACAAACAGTCACTATAATGTTATAGTGAGAGTTGACCAGGGCTGTCACAGACAAACAGCCATTATAATGTTAAAGTGAGAGTTGACCAGGGCTGTGACGGACAAACAGACATTATAATGTTATAGTGAGTGTTGACCAGGGCTGTGACAGACAAACAGTCATTTTAATGTTATAGTGAGAGTTGACCAGGGCTGCGACAGACAAACAGTCATTATAATGTTATAGTGAGAGCTGTCCAGGGCTGCGACATTATAATGTTATAGTGAGTGTTGACCAGGGCTGTGACAGACAAACAGTCACTATAATGTTATAGTGAGAGTTGACCAGGGCTGGGACAGACAAACAGCCATTATAATGTTATAGTGAGAGTTGACCAGGGCTGGGACAGACAAACAGCCATTATAATGTTAAAGTGAGAGTTGACCAGGGCTGTGACAGACAAACAGTCATTATAATGTTATAGTGAGAGTTGACCAGGGCTGTAACAGTGACAGTTAGTGGTAATCAGCCTTAAGCGTATATGTACTTATGTGTTATGTTTGTATTGATTTGTACTAATGGAGACAATTATGCCACATGCCCAATGCTCATTAAGTCTATTATTAGATTCATGTCAAACAGCTCTCGGTATATAGCTATGTTTAACTAGGAAAAATTAAATTGACATCTATTGCTATCCCTGGTACTGTTTTTGCCCTCAAAGAATAGATTGCAATGCGATACTGATTTGTAGGGATCCATGACTTCATTCAGTTTTTTACGTTTGAAATTCAAGTCAGCATATGTTGTTTTTCTAAAGTTCTATTATTGCTGAAAACTTATCAATGAAACACATTATATGACAGCTGTGAAAATTTGTGAAGCTGAAAAAACTGGACATTCAAGTGAATTCAAGTTTTTGCCGGGGAGCTGCTTACATGGAGGTAACTCCTAGAGGGATGCCGTGCACCAGTAGTCTTAGTAGGACACCCTTATTTTGTTTCTGGTTTCAATTTTGTTGTTTTATAATTTAAAACAATGGGTTCTGTGAGTCAGAGCTAGATAAATACCTCCTTCCCCCACCACAACTTTCATGCACACTAAGCCATGTGAATGGTTAAAATGAAAAATACATTGCAATGTATATTAAGTGATGACAGGGCATATGAAATTTGTATAAAAGTAAGTTAAAAATAATATCACCTGTCATCCAGTCACAGGAAGTACTACCTGTAACAGAGGCAGCTTCTCATATCACCTGTCATCCAGTCACAGGAAGTACTACTTGTAACAGAGGCAGCCACTAATGTCACCTGTCATCCAGTCACAGGAAGGACTACCTGTAACAGAGGCAGCTACTAATGTCATCTGCCATCCAGTCACAGGAAGCACTACCTGTAACAGAGGCAGCTACTAATGTCTCCTGTCATCCAGTCACAGGAAGTACTACCTGACACAGAGGCAGCTACTAATTTATCACCTGTCATCCAGTCACAGGAAGTACTACCTGTAACAGAGGCAGCTACTAATGTCACCTGTCATCCAGTCACAGTAAGTACTACTTGTTACAGAGGCAGCTACTAATGTCACCTGTCATCCAGTCACAGGAAGTACTACCTGTAACAGAGGCAGCTACTAATGTCACCTGTCATCTAGTCACAGGAAGTACTACCTGTAACAGAGGCAGCTTCTCATATCACCTGTCATCCACCCACAGGAAGTACTACCTGACACAGAGGCAGCTACTAATTTATCACCTGTCATCCAGTCACAGGAAGTACTCCCTGACACAGAGGCAGCTACTAATTTATCCCCTGTCATCCAGTCACAGGAAGTACTACTTGTACCAGAGGCAGCTACTAATGTCACCTGTCATCTAGTCTAAAGAAGTATTACCTGTAACAGAGGCAGCTTCTCATATCACCTGTCATCCAGTCACAGGAAGTACTACCTGTAACAGAGGCAGCTGCTTATGTCACCTGTCATCCAGTCACAGGAAGTAATACAAGTAACAGAGGCAGCTACTAATATCACCTGTCATCCAGTCACAGGAAGTACTACCTGTAACAGAGGCAGCTACTAATGTCACCTGTCATCCAGTCACAGGAAGTACTCGCCGTAACAGAGGCAGCTACTAATATCCTTAAACTATACTAGCAGTCAGAAATGAAGTATCCCAAAAAACATTTCATCCACTCGGAGGTTATTGATAAGGCAGTCATCTTGAAACCCAGAACTGTATTAATATTATGCTTCATTTTATAGTGTGAAATGAATTAAGACAAAATTTAATTGTTTCCTTTCAATTTTATTTTTGCAGCTGATTTTTCTACATGGCCTAGGGGACACTGGGTGAGTATTATTGATGTCACTTATTCAGTATATCACTTCAATTTCACAAACAGATTCTACTTCAAGTAAATATGTTCATTTATGGAATTTTCTTATTTTAAGCCCACCATCATCAGATGGTAGACTGCTCAAACTGTCTTTCCTTCATTGGTCTGTCGTCTGTCTATAAACAAATGTTGTTTTCTCTACTTCTTAAAAAATACTAAATGGATCTTTTTTTTAATTTCATTTATTGATTCCCTTTGTTTCTTAGTATGACACATTTCACTTTAAGTCTGAAGAAAAGATAGCTGCCATCAGGATTTTGGCAGTTCGTTATAACTGTCAGAAAGCCATAGAGAGGTCTTTCTCAATTTGCAAGTAGGTACCTCTTGGTACTTAATTGTGCATATTCTATTTCAAGTCTGATCGAAAAAAGAAAATGGCTACTAGGCAGCCATCTGGGATTTTGGCTGTTAAAGTTTGTTTTCACTATTCTAAAGAAGTTATTCAAAGATTTTTAGCTCACCTGGCCCAAAGGACCAAGCTTAAGTGAGCTTATGCCGTGGCACGGCGTCCATTGTCAATATTTTAGTTTAAACCAATTCTACTTAATAACAGTAAACCAAAAGGCCTAGAGTGATAATATTTGGCCAGAAGCAAACTGGGATAAAGGGCTACCAAGTTTGTTCTAATGAATGACCTTGANATTCTACTTAATAACAGTAAACCAAAAGGCCTAGAGTGATAATATTTGGCCAGAAGCAAACTGGGATAAAGGGCTACCAAGTTTGTTCTAATGAATGACCTTGACCTATATTCAAGGTAACAGGGGTCAAATATGTTAAAAGCTTTAAACGATTTCTTCTGAATAACCAAAAGGCCCAGGGTGATGATATTTGGCCAGTAGCATGCTGGGATGAAAGGCTACCAAGTTTGTTAAAATGAATGACCTTCACTCATATTCAAGGTCACAGGGAACTTCTTCTGGCCAGTAGCATGCTAGGATAAAGGGCTACAAAGTTTGCTAAAATGAATGACCTTGGCCTGTATTTAAGGTCAAAGGGGTTAAATATGTTTAAAATCTTTAAACGACTTCTGCTGAATAACCAAAAGGCCCAGGGTGATGATATCTGGGATCAAATTTGTTTAAAATCTTTAAACAATTTCTTCTGAATAACCACCAGGCCTACAATGTTTAAAATTTGGCCAGTAGCATGCTTGAATGGAGGGCTATCAAGTCATTTGAGTAACCATGACCTTCTTTCAAGGTCACATTTGTTCAAATATGTGAAAACCTTTAAATTACCTTATTTCAATAAACAAAAGCCTGAACTTAAAAGCCTTGACGAAAGAAAAATCATCCCTGACCTTTAGAATACTTGACAGAAGTAAAATCATCCCTGACCTTTGTAATACTTGACAGTAGTAATATCATCCATGACCTTTGTAATACTTGACAGAAGTAAAATCATCCCTGAACTTTGTAATACTTGACAAAAGTAAAATCATCCCTGGCCTTTGTTATACTTGTCAGAAGTAAAATCATCCCTGACCTTTGTAATACTTGACAGAAGTAAAATCATTCCTGACCTTTGTAATACTTGACAGAAGTAAAATCATTCCTGACCTTTGTTATACTTGACAGAAGTAAAATCATTCCTGACCTTTGTTATACTTGACAGAAGTAAAATCATTCCTGACCTTTGTTATACTTGACAGAAGTAAAATCATTCCTGACCTTTGTTATACTTGACAGAAGTAAAATCATTTCTGACCTTTGTTATACTTGACAGAAGTATAATCATTCCTGACCTTTGTAATACTCGACAGAAGTAACATCATTCCTGAACTTTATAATACTTGACAGAAGTATAATCATTCCTGACCTTTGTTATACTTGACAGAAGTATAATCATTCCTGACCTTTGTTATACTTGACAGAAGTAAAATCATTTCTGACCTTTGTTATACTTGACAGAAGTATAATCATTCCTGACCTTTGTAATACTCGACAGAAGTAACATCATTCCTGAACTTTATAATACTTGACAGAAGTATAATCATTCCTGACCTTTGTTATACTTGACAGAAGTAAAATCATTTCTGACCTTTGTTATACTTGACAGAAGTAAAATCATTCCTGACCTTTGTACTACTTGACAGAAGTAAAATAATTCCTGACCTTTGTTATACTTGACAGAAGTAAAATCATTCCTGACCTTTGTAATACTTGACAGAAAGAAAAAAAATCCTGACCTTTGTAATACTTGACAGAAAAAAAATCCTGACCTTTATTGTCCTTAATAGCATAAAGTGTAATTCCGACTTATAATAAAAAAATAGATATCCAGTCCAACATATGTTTAATTGTAAGTAACAGGAAATTGTATCCCAAAATGGTTAATCCTACCTCCAAATAAGGAAGGTTTATTTTTATTGATATATATTGTAATAATATCCAAGAATTAGATTTAGGGTGCTCAATAAACATATTAATTGTTCTGTTGTTGGAAAGCTGATTTCCATGATACAAATTTGTTTTTGTAGCCATGGCTGGGCACAAGGATTTGGTCAACTAAATCTATCTCACGTCAAATGTGTGTGTCCCACTTCGTAAGTATTACAGATTTTATCTTTGCCTTTCTTTATCTTTGTACCATGTTATTGTTTATATAGAAATCAATACCATTGGTATTGCCCAATTTTATCCTTCAATGCAAAATGAGTAAAGGGGAAATGCTAAATTAGGCTCTGTACGTCATTGATTGCATCCACCTGTCCATCCGTCTGTGCCTTCTATAGGAAACAGCTCCAAAACAGTTGCAGTATTTGTATAACAGTGTGTACACTTGTCAGACGAAAGCCCTAGTTAGGCGTTTTGCTATTGTGGAATTTTCATTTTCAATTCCTTTCCTGTTACTATAGAAACAAATAGCCCAAAATCCCATGCTTCAATGTTTTTCCAGATAACAATCCTAAAAACCAATCTTCTTATTCACTATTTGTTAATTATCAGTCCTTTTCCTTTTTACCACGGAAACAAATACGCTGTACCCAAAAAGAAAACATTCACATATTTGTTTTGTCCTTGTCCATAGTGTACAAAATTGAGATCCCCACTCTATGACCGTAATTATATACAATGCTAGGCTTGAAGAGACAAACATCCTCATGCTCTCAGGATTGGCCGTGCTCCCTTGTTATGACCCAGGGGTTGGGCTAGACCCCTTGGTCTTGATCCACAGTCTAGATCCACACCTTATAAATTTGCTTAGCATGAAAAGACAAACCCACTCATGTCTTTGGGTTTGTCCCTGGGGTCTGCCTCAGCCCCTTGGGTAACATGGACAATTGAAGATGCCTGTCCGATACCAGGAACATTATATACAATTGTTTGTTAATTAACAGCTTTTGGGTAAAAAAACCCTGTTTCAACACATTTTCTAATTGTTTTACACACTTGAGGCTTTGATACAAGATTTTATAATGAAATCTGCCTTTAGAAAATGTATTTCATTTAGAAATTGGTAGAAACACAAGCTAATTATGAAAATCATGTTCATTATGAAAATACCCCAAAAAGAACTGAGGCTGATGGTTCTGCAGAAGACTTCAATACCCAGTTACATTGAAAAATATTTTTTGACCTCATTTGAGGCAGATACTCATAATATATGCTAAATTTGGAATAGTAATGCTATGACAAAAAATCTTCAGCTTTGTAGTATGGCCTTGTAGTATGTGGCCTTGTAGTATGGACTTTGGTTGATCATTGGTTCTGATTTTTGTCCAAATTGTCTGACATTCAATAATATGTACTTGACACTTATTCTTTTTCCTTTTCAGGCAAACACGAAAAGTAACATTAAATGGCGGTATGCCTATGCCTTCTTGGTAAGTTTCAACAACACAAAATGTTTCCTTATTGCTAGATAAATATATAATGATAAACTTTATTTATTTTAAAACAAATATGAAGCAAGTTATTTCAACTTGTATTAATAACTCTTGTTGGCCCGGAAGTTAGCGTGCGGGGGTCTTAGTGTGGGAGTGCTCAGAGGAACCCCACGTGGTGGAGCAGGTGACCTCAAACCTTTTCACATTAGATCGGGGAATCAAACCCTGGTCGCCTTGGTAAAGGTCAAGTTCGCTATCCACTGTGCCACCTGACCACCCTATGGCTAAATGCAATCAAGTTTTTATGAAAACATTTCGAACAGAATGATTATCACTATATTTAGTATAAGGGTCATATTTCACTCTGAATCAAATTTTTCACAGAAACAAATTCTTACCCTAGAAAATAATTTGGACATGCTACAAGGATTGGCCTAGGGGTCTGCTCCTACCCATAGGGTCTTAGTCCCTTGGTTATACGTATACCCTAAAACAGGTATTAGATGTGTGATATAACCTATTCTCAAACATCATTACTCTTTATGTATATAAGTTGTCACAATCACATGCATGCTATTTTATGACGACTTTATGGTTATGAAATTTATCACAGTGGCTCATTTTTACGCTTGTCATATTATTCTGCAGATCATATTTTCACGATTATGTAATTAACCTGTGAACTCGCAAAAATATCATACCTGCAGAAATTCTTTCTATAAGATATAATAGAGCCCAATCCTATAACCATACATGTGCATACTTTTGCTGAGCATGAAGAGGTGAATATCCATATAGCTACCAGGATCGACCTCCGGGCCTCTCCTACCCTTCTACCTTTATATCTGGGTCATATAACATGGGAGTGATTGAGGTCCACGCCCCTTAATCAGATATGAAATGTCTGGGCAAGAAGAGATGAACACAATCATGCTACCAGAATTAGCTTTGGGATCCGTTCTCAGGCCGGGACATACCAATGTCTTTAAAAAATGAAAGTTGTTATTCCCTGCTTAACATTCAGCATTAAGGGTATTGGCAACAACTAGTTCACCCGTTGTCAGTATAATGTGACCAAGTGGAATGCTGTGCTGGGATTTCGGCATAGTATTTCAGTGATATAGCACTAAAAAGTCGACATTAGATCTGTGCTTTCACAAGAAGGGCAAGTACACCAACATACCCTGTCTCCAGCACACATACATGCATGCATGCTTACACAACACACACGGAGGCATGCCCTTAAATGACCTAAGCTGTTAATAGGACGTTTAACAAAATTAAACCAAACCAAACCAAACTCTGGATCATAACATTTGAGATCTCCACTCTATAACAATATATATACAATTATTGAGCATGAAGATTTGGATACACATGCCCTACCAGGATTGACTCTGGGAACTGGCCCTATCCCTTAAAGCTTATATGCACTACCACTTTCAATGAATAGTTTGCCATGATTGCAATGGATGTATGCATTTATTTTAGAAATTCATGTAAAAATTGCATACAGTATCTAACATTTACCTATTTTGTTAATTCAACTTCAATAAAAAAAAATGAAATGTACATGTTAAGACAGCTAAGATGTACGTAAAATGTATTTAAGTTAGGAGAGGGCTTGATTAAGTTGTAAGAACTTGTGCCCAATCCTTTCTGTCATTTTCAAGGCAATACAAATATGTTTAAACCAACATTTACCTGACCAGTCCAGTCTGTAATTGGAATGTGTTTGTTTCTGTTTCAGGTTTGATATATTTGGGTTAGATCCTAAAGCTAGGCAAGATGAAGAGGGAATTAGGAAAGCATCTCAAGAATGTAAGTAGCTGTATCTCCTAAAATCCATCTTATTACTTATGGTTCAATCACACTACCGAGGATTTTAACCTTTCTCATTTCAAGAAATTTTAAGTTGTCTTGGAAACAGTGACCAAATCTCAAAAACTGTTACAGATTTGTTCTTCAAATTTCCAACATTTTAGATGGTTGGATATTCAAACTGCCTTGCACCCTATCTCCATGGTCTGTCCTTAAACAATGATTGTTATCACTTTATCTCAGAAAGTGATGTAGGAATCTTTCTCATATTTCATAGTATGTAAGTTTTCCTTGGTCTCGTGTTGTGCATGTTTACTTCTGAGATTGTTCGGATAAACAAAATGGCTGACAGGTGGCCATCTTGGATTTTGACTGTTAAAAATTGTTTTGGTTATTTCAAAGAAAAAGCTGAAGAGATCTTTCTCAAATTAATATGTATGTTCCCCATGGTCTTCTGTTGTGCATGTTTACTTTTGAGACTGTTTTTATAATGAAATGGCCAAAAGGCAGATTTTTTCTATTTGGTTTGTTATCACTATTTCTTAGAAAAAAACGGAGGAATCTTTTCTATATTTAACATGTAAGTTCTCTTTGGTGTTAAATTGTTCATGTTTACTTCTGAGACTGATTGGAAAAATAGAATGGCTGACAGATTGCCTGCCATCTTGAATTTTGACAGAGAAGTTTTGTTACCTATATAGCTTCTCAGAAAGCCCTGAAGGGATTTTCCTTATTTGTATGCCCCCCCCCCTTGGTTCACTTATTAAAACTACCCCTGACCTTGTAAGAATTCATCCCTCATTGTCAGCACTAGCATTTTGCATATTGTTATTAATTTCTTATACAATAAAATTTGTCATTGTGGCAAGTAGCATATGACATTACAAGGTTTAAGGTAAGTTTAGTTACTGATCTCATTTTAGGATGACCTCATTTGACCTTTGATCTTGACCTCAAGTTCTTAAATATGATGTTATACAGGTTTCTGAAGCATATCTTGAATTAGCTAGAATTTCATTTATTGACTTCAAATCTGGTGTGAGAGTAGTTAATGGTCAAGCACACCCACAAACCCTATACTTCAAGGTCACTCTAGTCCTGTTAGGATACTTATACTTTAATGATGTTGATTTCATTTTTTTAGTAAAAGATTTAATAAAAGAAGAAGCCAAATATATATCAACAGAAAAGATATTTATCGGAGGATTTTCTCAGGGAGGAGCAGTGGCGTTGTACACGGCCTTGACCTCCGACTCCCAGCTTGCTGGCTTAATTGGCCTCAGTACATGGCTTCCTCTACACGACAAGTTCATTTCTAATGACGTAAGCTGATTATATTGAAATACATGAATACTCTGATAGTTGTTTCGCTTGATTCAAATGATAAAAATAATTTCAAATTTTTCTTCTATGACAAGTGACACTTTTGTCTTTTACACTCTAAACTGTCAAATGACTAAGCAGGGTTTTGTGTGAATAATAAAAGATAATGGCCATTGTCTTGTGTGATATTTCAACAGCCCTGGTATTTCTTCGTCTCATGTTGCAGCAGTCATATTCTCACTGTTTTCTGGCCATCTGTTCGCAGAAGCCCATGTATATATATAACAAAACATACGAAATATTCTTGGTTTCTTGATGAATAACAATATTTAACCATTCATATGTTTGTTAAAATCCTTGCTCCTCCAGAACAGCTGTTTGGATTTTAACCAAACTTTTCATGTTGATTCCTAGGGGCAAGATAATCGACTTTGTGTAAAAGTAGGGCGTGGTGCCTCTAATGCTAAAGGGTGGGGCCAGATAGGGTCGAAATTTGGATCTCAGTGTTCAAAAGACTACTGTTCCAAAATGGCTTGTTGATTGATATTATTGAATTTAGCATTTCACATCAGTGGGACAAGAAAAGGAATTTCATTTATAAATGAAGGCTGTCATCTTGGAAAAATGAAGGTGGTGTGACATCTAAAGCCACAGTGGTGTGACCTCTGAAGCCACAGTAGTGTGACCTCTAAACCAAAGTAGTGTGACCTCTAAACCACAGTAGTGTGACCTCTAAACCACAGTAGTGTGACCTCTAAACCACAGTAGTGTGACCTCTAAACCACAGTAGTGTGACCTCTAAACCACAGTAGTGTGACCTCTAAACCACAGTAGTGTGACCTCTAAACCACAGTAGTGTGACCTCTAAACCACAGTAGTGTGACCTCTAAACCACAGTAGTGTGACCTCTAAACCACAGTAGTGTGACCTCTAAACCACAGTAGTGTGACCTCTAAACCACAGTAGTGTGACCTCTAAACCACAGTAGTGTGACCTCTAAACCACAGTAGTGTGACCTCTAAACCACAGTAGTGTGATCTCTGAAGCCACAGTAGTGTGACCTCTAAACCACAGTAGTGTGACCTCTGAAGTCACAGTGGTTTGACCTCTGAAGCCACAGTAATGGGACCTCTGAAGCCACAGTAGTGTGACCTCTAAACCACAGTAGTGTGACCTCTGAAGTCACAGTGGTGGGACCCTGATTGATGAATTAGTACTTGAACCTGTTAACACTTGTTTACTGTAAACATATAGTCACTTTCAACACCACACCACAGCAGATTCCTTGGACATGGTTGGTGTTGTTTACAACTATGGAGTCCCCTAAATCTTGGACGTGATGACATACTGTATTCTGTTAAATACTTAGTGATTGACATCCTTCTTCAAAAGTACAAACTTCAACTATTTCCTGGTGTAAACAAAAAATATGGCTCACATGTGCATGAATATGTTCAACTATACAATGTATTTTCAAGAGGCCCGGTCAGTTTGCATAATTTTCATGTACTATCAAGCTACTGGTCATTTATCTATACTTCCTTTTGCCCAATCAATAATTCTGAACGTGTCTGTCAATAATTCTGAACATGTATGTCAATAACTCTGAACGTGTATGCAAAGTAAACATCAGTCAACCAAGTTAATGTAAAGTAAACGTCAGTCAACCAAGTTAATGTAAAGTAAACGTCGGTCAACCAAGTGAATGCAAAGTAAACATCAGTCAACCAAGTGAATGTAAAGTAAATGTAAGTCAACCAAATGAATCCAAAGTAAACATCAGTCAACCAAGTGAATGTAAAGTAAACATCAGTCAACCAAGTGAATGTAAACTAAATCTCAGTCAACCAAGTGAATCCAAAGTAAACATCAGTCAACCAAGTGAATGGAAACTAAATGTCAGTCAACCAAGTGAATCCAAAGTAAACATCAGTCAACCAAGTTAATGTAAAGTAAACGTCGGTCAACCAAGTGAATGCAAAGTAAACATCAGTCAACCAAGTGAATGTAAACTAAATGTCAGTCAACCAAGTGAATCCAAAGTAAACATCAGTCAACCAAGTCAATGTAAAGTAAACGTCAGTCAATCAAGTGAATGCAAAGTAAACATCAGTCAACCAAGTGAATGTAAAGTAAACGCCAGTCAACCAAGTAAATGTAAACTAAATGTCAGTCAACCAAGTGAATCCAAAGTAAACATCAGTCAACCAAGTTAATGTAAAGTAAACGTCAGTCAACCAAGTGAATGCAAAGAAAACATCAGTCAACCAAGTGAATGTAAAGTAAACGTCAGTCAAACAATTGAATGCAAAGTAAACATCAGTCAACCAAGTGAATCTAAACTAAATGTCAGTCAACCAAGTGAATGCAAAGTAAACATCAGTCAACCAAGTGAATGTAAAGTAAACGTCAGTCAACCAAGTGAATGTGAATTAACGTCAGTCAACCAAGTGAATGTAAAGTAAACGTCAGTCAACCAGGTGAATGCAAAGTAAACATCAGTCACCCAAGTGAATGTAAAGTAAACGTCAGTCGACCAAGTGAATCCAAAGGAAACTTCAGTCAAAAAAGTGAATGTAAAGTAAATGTCGGTCAACCAAGGGAATGCAAAGTAAACGTCAGTCAACCAAGTGAAAGTGAATTAACGTCAGTCAACCAAGTGAATGCAATGTAAACATCAGTCAACCAAGTGAATCTAAACTAAATGTCAGTCAACCAAGTGAATGTAAAGTAAACGTCAGTCAACCAAGGGAATGCAAAGTAAACGTCAATCAACCAAGTGAATGTAAAGTAAACGTCGGTCAACCAAGTGAATGCAAAGTAAACTTCAGTCAAACAAGTGAATGTAAAGTAAACGTCAGTCAACCAAGGGAATGTAAAGTTAATGTTAGTCAACCAGGTGAATGCAAAGTAAACATCAGTCAACCAAGTGAATGTAAAGTAAACGTCGGTCGACCAAGTGAATGCAAAGTAAACTTCAGTCAAACAAGTGAATGTGAAGTAAACGTCAGTCAACCAAGGGAATGTAAAGTAAATGTTATTCAACCAAGTGAATGCAAAGTAAACATCAGTCACCCAAGTGAATGTAAAGTAAACGTCGGTCAACCAAGTAAATGCAAAGTAAACTTCAGTCAAACAAGTGAATGTAAAGTAAACGTCAGTCAACCAATTGAATGCAAAGTAAACTTCAGTCAAACAAGTGAATGTAAAGTAAACATCAGTCAACCAAGGGAATGCAAAGTAAACGTCAGTCAACCAAGTGAACGTATGTAAACATCAGTCAACCAAGTGAATGCAAAGTAAACATCAGTCAAACAAGTGTATCTATGGTTTTGACTGTTAGAACATATAATTTGTATCTGATACTTTTTACCTGGTATAAGTATCCACATTTACAGAATTTATCTTTGCTAAGTACGAAGAAACCTATACAACCGTGTTACAAGGACTAGCCACAGGGTCTGATCCCACCTCTTGGGACCTACTCCAGGGTCATAACATAATCCTTGTGTGTGTATACATAGTACTTGGTGGTTTGGTAAATCTATGTGAATCCCTCTTTATTTGTTTTCTTTTATTCATCAAGAAACCAAAAATATCTTGTATGTATACCGTGTTGTTTACAGTGAGATGTATAAGGTATTACCCTGTATAAGGTATTACCCTATATAAGGTATTACCCTGTATAAGGTATTACCCTGTATAGGGTATTACCCTGTATAAGGTATTACCCTGTATAAGGTATTACCCTGTATAAGGTATTACCCTGTATAAGGTATTACCCTGTATAAGGTATTACCCTGTATAAGGTATTACCCTGTATAAGGTATTACCCTGTATAAGGTATTACCCTGTATAAGGTATTACCCTGTATAAGGTATTACCCTGTATAAGGTATTACCCTGTATAAGGTATTACCCTGTATAAGGTATTACCCTGTATAAGGTATTACCCTGTATAAGGTATTACCCTGTATAAGGTATTACCCTGTATAAGGTATTACCCTGTATAAGGTATTACCCTGTATAAGGTATTACCCTGTATAAGGTATTACCCTGTATAAGGTATTACCCTGTATAAGGTATTACCCTGTATAAGGTATTACCCTGTATAAGGTATTACCCTGTAAAGGGTATTACCCTGTATAAGGTATTACCCTGTATAGGGTATTAACCTGTATAGGGTATTACCCTGTATATGCCTTGAGATATACCGGCTTTGACCAATATTTCAGATGAGTTTGTTACAACAAACATAAAAGTCATAAAACTATTTCTGAACTTTCATTGCCTAAAATATTTTTTGATAATGAAGATTGCCTTATTGTTATGAATTAAGCTTCATTGTTTCAACTGTACTTATCACTAGTATTGAAAAATATTTTCATTTCAGCTTTTGACATGTTTGTTTTCTATTGGTTGTATTGCAGATAGGAAAAAGCAAACATTTAAAGGACTTAAACATGTTTCAAGGTCATGGCAAGGCAGACCCAATGGTGCCTTACACCTGGGGGGAGATGACCAGTAAGATCCTGAAGGCTAATGTTAAGAGTGTCACCTTTAAATCCTATGATGATATGGGTCATAGTTCCTGTGCACAGGTAAAACATTATATGTAAAATTGATTTTTGATTATATTTTATTTAATCATAACGAATCAGACATCCTATCATAAACTTAGTTACGGATACTGTCAGGTAAGTCAGGTTAAGTCAGATTAGTAAAATCTCCTGACACTGTCAGGTAAGTCAGGTTAAGTCAGATTAGTAAAACCTTCTGATACTGTCAGGTAAGTCAGATTAATTAAATCAGATCAGTAAAATCTCCTGATACTGTCAGGTAAGACAGGTTAAATCAGATCAGTAAAATCTCTTGATACTGTCAAGTAAGTCAGGTTAAATCAGATCAGTAAAATCTCCTGTCACTGTCAGATAAGTCAGATTAAATCAGATCAGTAAAATCTCCTGACACTGTCGGGTAAGACGGGTTAAATCAGATTAGTAAAATCTCCTGAAACTGTCAGGTAAGACAGGTTAAATCAGATCAGTAAAATCTCCTGATACTGTCAGGTAAGACAGTTTAAATCAGATCAGTAAAATCTCCTGACACTGTCAGATAAGTCAGATTAAATCAGATCAGTAAAATCTCCTGACACTGTCGGGTAAGACGGGTTAAATCAGATTAGTAAAATCTCCTGACACTGTCAGGTAAGACAGGTTAAATCAGATTAGTAAAATCTCCTGATACTGTCAGGTAAGTCAGGTTAAATCAGATTAGTAAAATCTCCTGAAACTGTCAGGTAAGACAGGTTAAATCAGATCAGTAAAATCTCCTGATACTGTCAGGTAAGTCAGATTAAATCAAATCAGTAAAATCTCCTGATACTGTCAGGTAAGTCAGATTAAATCAAATCAGTAAAATCTCCTGATACTGTCAGGTAAGTCAGATTAAATCAAATCAGTAAAATCTCCTGATACTGTCAGGTAAGTCAGATTAAATCAAATCAGTAAAATCTCCTGATACTGTCAGGTAAGTCAGGTTAAATCAGATTAGTAAAATCTCCTGATACTGTCAGGTAAGTCAGGTTAAATCAGATTAGTAAAATCTCCTGATATTGTCAGGTAAGTCAGTTTAAATCAGATTGGTAAAATCTCCTGACACTGTCAGGTAAGTCAGGTTAAATCAGATCAGTAAAATCTAAGACAGGTTAAATCAGATCAGTAAAATCTCCTGACACTGTCAGGTAAGTCAGGTTAAATCAGATCAGTAAAGTCTCCTGACACTGTCAGGTAAGTCAGGTTAAATCAGATCAGTAAAATCTCCTGACACTGTCAGTTTTATGAACAATTGCAGAGTAGTTTGTCAATTTCAGTCATATATTTAAATAAAACATTAATTGACAGAAGTGACAGTGATGTTGACGATTATTGTTTTACTATTTCAGGAAATGGCGGATGTAAGGGAGTTTCTTAATTCTATTGTGCCTAGTGATTGACAAGCTAATCAGTAGTGACAGACAACCACTAGCACAGATCAACAGCTTTGTGTTGGACTATTTTAGATGAGGAGGAGGAGGTAGTTACTTTATGTCTTCGTGACAACATGGCAGGGAGCTTGATTTGGATGCAACCAAACTTTCTGTGTGAAATCATACAAACACTTCCTATCTGATCTCTGTAGAAATGGGAATTCTCGTCTTGTTGTTTAGGGTTGAAATATTGTACTTTAGTACGTGTCTTGTCATTCATTAGATTAGGTTTGACATATCTGATCACTTTATTTAGCAATGGAATGTTGTCGTCCATTAGTTAGGGAGGAGAAACATGAAAACGTGGTATGCATTTATTGGTATTGTAATCTTAAGGATCCTTGTCCCACTGCACTGTCTGTGGTTATATTCCCATGAATTTTGTTTTGGCTATAACTGGTGTATAGTTGTTGATCTGTGACACTTCAGTGACCTGGTAGCTCTGTCGGTAAGAGCGACAGTATAACATTCAAGTCCTGGGTTGGAATCCTGTTGCAGACATGCTGAGTATTTTACATCCACAATACTATTGTTGATTAATTTCTGTTTGTTTCCAGTATGTTTTTATAAAAGTCCTGCAAGGTCTACAATACATACTCTTTTTTTTTAAAATGATTTATCAAAGCTATAGTCATTAAAAAAATATAATCTAATGCATAGTTTCATTTCTTGGCAGTGGTATGGGGATCCTTAATTAGAATTAGTAACAATTTCAGTAGACAATCAGTAATTATGAAACCTGTATGAATCTGTTCACTGCAATATGAACAGTTTTCTAGATATGCTATTAAAGGAATTTGACTCAGTTTTCTTCAGGATCATACATTGTCACTCGTCATACAAGACATTGGAAAAGCACAACAGATATATTTAAATGTATTTTCATTTTAATAAATACAATAGGTGGATTATGGTTTAAATATAGAATTTATGGGCATACACATGTACATTTTTGTCCTTAAAACATGAGCTGTTACCTGTGCCATTTTAAACACTTGATCATCGATAAAAGTGCTTGTCATATAAATGACACTTAAATTGGTTCCGTTAGAGTCGGAACATGGCGCAACAAAACATCGGTAAAGTCATGTTTTAATTTTGTCCATTCTACCCTGTATCTCTGGTATGTCTTCTTTCAGAAAAAAAACCAAACCAACTGTTGATGTAATGTCATGGGTAATAAGGACCTTAGTTATTTATAAAGTTTATTTTCAAAAGACTTCTCAAATTTAAATTACTTGCTAACTTTTATTTAAATGCAGATTTCTCCTTTTTCAACATAGAAACTGTTATTACCAAATGACCTGTTCATTTAAAGGTTGATAAAATAACAAAATGACCTGTTCATTTAAAGGTTGATAATAATTAAGTAGGGTTCTTGCTGAATTTGGTATTTTACATATTATTGTCATGTTTTACCGGTTGATATACTGTAAAAAGGGCGAAACAACATACAAACATTATCATCGAACCCAATATATTCCAAAATAAAATTGATGCAGCCATGTTTTCTGATGATGTGTGTATGTTTTTTGGTGATAAAAAAAAAATCAGTTAAAGTTTAAATAAAAATCAGTTAAAGTTTTGGGGTGGACATTCTAGCAGATTTTCTGGTTCAATCCCAAAAATTTTGCAACAATAACTATACATTTACCTGATGCATGTACATGACATTAATTCTGGATAATTCCAAAAAGTATTTGTACTGAAATAAGATTGCATTTACCAGAAAACTTTTTGGGATTAATCCCGAAAAGTGGTATTATCAGAAGACTTTTTGGGATCAATCCCAGAAAATATTTGTGTTAACTTATTCATGCATTTAATAAATAAATAAATTAGTAAAAGTGGGATTGAAAAAAAAGGCTTAGGATCAACCCAAAATTAGATTTTACAGAAAGGGTGGACAGGACCTGTACATGTGCTGCTATGTTATGATTGACTCTAGGGAAAATTTTGTCAATATGGGTGTTGAGTGAGGTCTTATGTACCATATAAATGGAGTGGTTTCATCCTTGAAAGATTTGAGTACAAGTGGCCATTCTAGTATTCAACACAGGAAAAGGGTGACAGACACATTGATAAATGGTGCATGGTGAAGGGGGAATCTGAAATTCAGCAGATACAATTGTATGTTTGGTGGTGGGGTTTGTAAAAAAGTGCCTCCCTCTTCTCCCTTCTATTCAGTACACATTGGCGGAAAACAAAGTATTTCATGCAAACTGATTATTGCATTGTACTGACAACAATTTCTACATCAGTCTCTGAATAACACTCTTTTCAGTAATTATATGATTGGATTAGGAAGACTAATTGAACACAACTGATTCCATACATATAATGATTATTGTATAATCATATACATTTCTTAATTGGTTCTAAAGTTAAGACCAACTCATTGTTTGGTCATGTCATCCTGGCTTCGTGAACACATTTATGTATTTAGATGTATGCTGACCGGGATTGGTCATTTCTGTGACATACAAAACATGATGACTGGAAAATCTGATATCAGATACCATGTATCTATTAATGTGGCGTGTGGTGAAGGTATACCTGTCAAACCCTACCTTGTACAGGGACTCTTACAGTCAAGTTCAAACTATAGTCCTGTTTAAAATACCCAAAGTGGAAACATTTTTGAATTTATGAATACATTTTCTTTTATATCAGACCTTTGTTTCAGATTGGTTTTCTTAAACTGATTAGGTAAATAAAATACATGTGAATAAAAAACAACAATACATCCAGAAAACTGTGACTCATTTATTAATTGTGTTTGATGGAGGCCATCATGATAGATAAATGGAGGAGACAGTATGTGTCCATACGTCATTAACAGATCCAAGCTCACAACACAGGGTCCTGATATGCTGATATAAATTACATTAAAAACATTCTCAGTGTATTTCTGTCCTTGTAAATCTAAGGTTCATTATCTCTGACAGCCATAATGAGTTGCAGTATTTCAGTTGTATAAATGTTATCATGACAATATGCCTTTTCCTCGAGGGCAAAATATTTGAACCAAGTTATATGGATTGACAATGAATTATCTGTCTGGCAGGTGGTAGGTTTTCTATGATGGATCAATTTTCCTGAAGCTTTCTTTCCTGAAGGAAATCCTTGTCTTATTGTTCCAATGGTGTGATCTGTATATAATAGGAAATCCTTGTCTTATTGTTCCAATGGTGTGATCTGTATATAATAGGAAATCCTTGTCTTATTGTTCCAATGGTGTGATCTGTATATAATAGGAAATCCTTGTCTTATTGTTCCAATGGTGTGATCTGTATATAATAGGAAATCCTTGTCTTATTGTTCCAATGGTGTGATCTGTATATAATAGGAAATCCTTGTCTTATTGTTCCAATGGTGTGATCTGTATATAATAGGAAATCCTTGTCTTATTGTTCCAATGGTGTGATCTGTATATAATAGGAAATCCTTGTCTTATTGTTCCAATGGTGTGATCTGTATATAATAGGAAATCCTTGTCTTATTGTTCCAATGGTGTGATCTGTATATAATAGGAAATCCTTGTCTTATTGTTCCAATGGTGTGATCTGTATATAATAGGAAATCCTTGTCTTATTGTTCCAATGGTGTGATCTGTATATAATAGGAAATCCTTGTCTTATTGTTCCAATGGTGTGATCTGTATATAATAGGAAATCCTTGTCTTATTGTTCCAATGGTGTGATCTGTATATAATAGGAAATCCTTGTCTTATTGTTCCAATGGTGTGATCTGTATATAATAGGAAATCCTTGTCTTATTGTTCCAATGGTGTGATCTGTATATAATAGGAAATCCTTGTCTTATTGTTCCAATGGTGTGATCTGTATATAATAGGAAATCCTTGTCTTATTGTTCCAATGGTGTGATCTGTATATAATAGGAAATCCTTGTCTTATTGTTCCAATGGTGTGATCTGTATATAATAGGAAATCCTTGTCTTATTGTTCCAATGGTGTGATCTGTATATAATAGGAAATCCTTGTCTTATTGTTCCAATGGTGTGATCTGTATATAATAGGAAATCCTTGTCTTATTGTTCCAATGGTGTGATCTGTATATAATAGGAAATCCTTGTCTTATTGTTCCAATGGTGTGATCTGAAAAAAATAAAAAATGACCAGTGTTGAACGAATGACAAATGGTCAACAACAAAACTGTACAAAAGTGAATGCTTTCAGATGATATTTGGCCAGTAGGTACCTGGGAGAGAGTGATATTAAGTTTCCTCATACAAATGACCTTGTCTTACTTTCAAGGTCACATGGTTCAAAATTGTAAAAACCTTTAAACAATTTCTTCTGAATAACCAAGACTTCTAGAGTAATGATACCTGGCCAGTAGGTACCTGGGACAGAGTGCTATAAAGAGTCATCAAATAAATGACCTTGACCTACTTCCAAGGTCACAGGGGTCAAATATATATAAAACTTTAAACAACTTCTTTTGAATTACCAGGAGGCACAGATTTAGAATACTTATATTTGGCAAGTAGGTTTGTTGTATGGCCTCCTGATAAGGCTTTAACTCATTACCCCTGAAATTTGATAATGAACTATTCCAACCTTTGAATTGGAAGAGTTCAATTGTGTCTTCAGGGGTGAATATGTTGAATGAATTTCAAAACCTGTTGAATTCTTCAAATCTTTCAATTTATTTTACGATGGAATGAAGTATGGCATCTTTACTTTTCTTAGGTGTTTCAGGGCAATATGCAGAAACTTAACATTCAAGATACTGTTTACTGCTGATATTGCTCAATTTATCTGTTTCAAACTTTAAAATAGAATTTCAAATTCAAAGAATTATTTTTGGTTGTCAAACTTTGAAAATATGGAAGTTAGATTTGAATTAATGGGAATTTTAAACGTTTTTTCACAATAAATATATTTAGATTTATCCAGCATCCGAAGCAGGTACATTGTATATCGATGCCCCCTCCTGACATGCAGGGTTTGCTATTGACCTATGATGATTTTGTGTTATTTAGGATTCTTAATTTGCATCCACAAGGGTAACCAATATACCAACTTTGAAGTTTGTATGAAAATTCATTCTTAGGTTTATTATTGGGACAAACACAACAAAGCAAAAAGACTTTTTTATCAATGGTGACCTTCGCAAACCACACCAAAAATCAGTAGGGTTCTTAACATCCACTAGAGCAACCCAAACACCCAAGTTTGAACTTTGTGTTATCAATCATAATCCAGTTATGATGAGGACAACAACTATACAGAGACAAACGGTCACCTCACAAGATTTATAATCCAAGGTATGTTGGTCCTCCACTTATAGTTGAGTGGAAATGAAGCTAAACACAAACACTTATCATTGATAGGGCACCAAAAGATTGAATCATCTCGAGTGTACTTATAAATCATCTCAAGTGTACTTATAAATCATCTCGAGTGTACTTATAAATCATCTCGAGTGTACTTATAAATCATCTCGAGTGTACTTATAAATCATCTCGAGTGTACTTATAATTCTGGCTCCAGTAGTGCGCGTTACATGTACGGTGAAACCACTAATTTTCATGGGGTTTTTAATTTTGTTGATTTCGTGGGTAATCTTCATCCATGAATTCCTAGATCCACAAAGTAATAATAATTTGATATTAGCAATTCTTTATTTGAGTGAGTACTAGTAATCCATTAATTCATGTACCCATGAAATGGTGTTTTGTCGAGAAACAATGAAATTTGGGCCCCAAAACATTACTGATTTCACAGTATACACTGTATTACACCATGACTTAAGTGACAATATACCAGTCCAATGACTTTATCATCAGAGCTGGTCAGGTTAACAAGTACAGAGGAAAACACAACAAATGTTTCATTCTTTTAATAAGGGATATTGATGTAAGCATATCTGTACTGATAAGAGGTTGTGCTTCTAACCAACACTGTACAAGGCAGCTTGTGTGGCACTGTGTCCAGCAGTTTTAACAGTCCGATGAAGGAGACAAACCCCAGACCCCTACCGTTACCGACTCCCAGGGTGAACCCTCCTTCCTTTATGTAACCGATCACAGGACGACTACAGCTGTCAATGAGGTCGACACTGATCTCATCAACATCAAGTGCTTCACCCTGACCATCAGCAGAGTTTTTGTTTTCATTTCCAACCTTATTTTTACCAGCACTATCCATTGTTTCTGTCTTACATGCTCCTCCACTCTTTTGTAACTTTCTTTTTTTCTTTTTCTCCTCGTTTTTCTCTCTCCTCGTTTCCTCTTTGTGAATCGTTTCCATGGGTGCGCCAGATTTCGGGTTTGATACTAGCCTTGCCAAATCCTCTTGCAGTGGAATGGCTATGTTTGCAAATCTTTCAGAACAACCTCGAGTTACCATGGTAACCTCCACTGGCACTAAACAGTTGGTGTGTTTGTTTCCCAAAGTCAGAAGTTCATCATTCTTGTTCAACATAGACACCATTGTCGTAAATAAGCTCTCTTTGTTTTCATTGGACAACTTTCGCCAGGTTACATCCGATAGAACTTTACTCATTTTCTTCAAAATTGTTTTGTCTCTCATTACATAAAAGTTGCCTCCAGTTTGATTCCACTCATCTTGCATTTCCTCTTTCACTGCCCACTGCTTCACTAGGCTTCTCCATGGGAACTGGAATGGGCACTGGATGCCAAGCTTGGTGTAGTTAGGACGCTTGGCTGGAGGTTTCTTGTTGTACGTATCCATTAATTGGTGGCACAGATTCGTCTCGTCCTCTCTACCAACAACAGTGTCTGGGTAGCCCTGTGGGAAGTGCAACACCCCCTGTTCATGAGCCAGACTTTCAGACTCCCGCAGTCCACCTGCACGTGCACACCTGTAATTAAATGCTACCCAGAATGCCATGCTCCATCCAGCCGGAATCACTATGTCCCATCCACTACCGTAACTGGGAGCTGTACTTCTCTGACCATTGGACCTTGACCTAACCCCTGGAGTCTGGATAAGGATAATGGGGATTTTGGATTCCTTTTCACCTAGATCTAGTGGAGTTCCTGAAAGAAATCAAAGTCAAAATGTTTACAAAATATCACTTTAACACCACAGAACAATAGCACATGTCTATCAGTGTTTACTGGAAATGGAAAATTTCGCCCTTTGCCCATGAAACCAATTTTCGCCCAGTATAAACTTTTCCCTTCACATTTAATTACTATGTACTAAAGTATATTATGTTGTTTACATTCCCTGTAATAATAATCTTCACAGAGGGAGAAAAAAAAAAAAAAAATAGAATTTGAATCTTGAAGTAATACTTCAAATTTATAAAGCAGCTTCAACTTACCAGGTATCAGGTGGTCTGACTTCAGGTGATTGAGTTTCTGGTCTGTTAATTTGGTTTGTTTGACATTGGACCTCACTGTTTGGTCCCAAATGGCCGATAAGGACACATCTGGTACGGGAGCCTCAGACATGGCACAAGAGTCGCTCTCCACTACAAACAATACACAAACACAAATTGTTTGTTAAGGTCATAGGAGTGTATTGCTAAACGGAAATAGGAAGTGCATCCCTAGTTGAAAATCCAATGTAGGAGACAGTATCACAATTTCCGCATATTCTAATGTTTGATATTAAACTGATGAATATTATATGTTTATTATTGGCAGAACAGTGTGTTCTTTCAATATTAAAGTATTTCAAAGCAATCCAGGCATTGATTCAGTTGTTTTTTAATCAATGAGTCACATGTGTCCATTGTTCTGTACTTCAGGAAACCGGCTACCTATTTCACTACTGTTAAGTTTTTCAAGAACGATAACTCTTACCTGCAATTTCTATGTGTATATGGTTTTATTATAAAATGTCAATTTTTAATCGTTTATAGATAATTAATTTTACACAATTTCAGTATTTATGAAATTGATATACGTTAATGCAATACTAATCTATGTCAGTCTCATTTTTATTGACATTTTTTTGTTAAACATTGTGTGTTTCATTTTTTTCTTTCAAAATTCTCTCCTTTTGACATAAATTTCCATTTTAAATCCTCAAAATTCTGACAACCTATATTTTTCTTGTGGCAGAAAATTTTCTTTACTTCAAAGCAATATAACTACAAAATTTGAAGAAATTCTACTGAGAAATGGTGACACAATCCTATTACCTTCAGAACACTACTTACTTCAATAAAATTGTAGAGCTCTAATTCTGGCTACTTACAGTAAAACTATATAATATAAACTTTATTTATTTTACAACAATTATGAAATAAATCAGTCCAACTTATACTAATCATAATTTATTGGCCCAGATGTTCGCGCCAGGGGGTCTTAATGTGGGAGGAAACAGGAGTGCTCGAAGAAACCCCACATGGTCAGGCAGGTGACCCATACCTTTCCACTTCGGATTAGGGAATCAAACCCCAGCCACCTTGGTGCAAGGCAAGTGTGATATCCACTGCGCCACCCGACCACCTAACTCTGATATAATGTCCCTCATTTCATTGCTGCTTCCCCTACTGTCAAGGTATTTCAAAGTCTAATTTTCCATTTTTATTCCTTTATACACCTCCTTTGATAAACCAGTATTGACAAAACCCCAAGGCATTTTTCATCTCAAACTGTATGTTGACTGCCAGACAAACAGACAGATGAAGGCACTTTCAAGGCAACTTAACCTATATCAATCACCAGATATCCTCCAATTTATCTCTAGAAATAACTAGCACACTGTCAGAGGCAAGTACAAAATGCACTGAAATGTCTACATAAATAATACATTAAAATGTTTACATTTGCCATAAATAGAAATTGTACCTCAACAGTAGACAGCTCCTGGTAATGGACATAACATGTAAAAGAGATTTGTTTTCATTTCAATCAAGATTTTTAATCTAAAACAGCTTGAATCGCATAAATGTCCCTTAAATTTGGTCTCCATATACACACTTGTAAAATAATCACCAGGATTAAATTTTATTGCTATGACAAAGTATTGCGATCAGCTAAATGAACACTAGTAGCCTCCTTACCTTCCTGGGTTTCTGTAGCCTTAGTTCGGATGTCAGGCATGAGGATCCTGGGGTCTCTCACCGTCAAACCCAACACAAGGTGCGGAGTAAGCTCCCCTGGAGATCTGCACTTAGTGACCTCATTCCAGAACTGCCTCTGCTGGGTGTGAGCGATGGCCATGTGATCCCTGCCGTAGAGCTGATGCCACCACAAGTCACTGCTACCTGCCTGTGGCAACATGTCGGCCACCTGTAAGTCAATGGATTCTAGGCTGAGACAAGGACAGGAATTCTTTATGTGATGTTCAGTCATCCAGTAACAAGACCATCCTCGATACTCCAGGGGTTACGCTCCCTGATGCTCTCTACACCCCTGGAATATGTCAGCAAAAATTGAAGGCATGCAATTTTGCTGTGACATATCCGAGGGGAGTAGAGAGCGTAAGTGAGAGTAACCCCTGGATTATTACTGAGGTCACAAGACGGACCATAATTTTTGTGTCAACCCTAACAACTTCTCTACAAATTTTGTCAAGAACTGTTTAGAGCAATGCTGTGTTCTTTTCTGAACATGTAGTTATGTTAAAGGAATGGAAAATGCTTACATGGCTTTAAAGTGATTGAAGTGTGCATGGTAGAAAAATGGATATTTTCTTAAAAAGATTTTAATAGTATGTAATACCAAATTGTGACGAGTTCCACACGGATACATAATGTACGTGTCTTTGTATTTTTTGTCAAAACAAAGTGAGGCACTTGTCAAAATTATAAAATGATCAGAATGAAATTGGAGGATCTCGACTGCATAAACATGTACAGGACATTTGATCAAGTACTAGGATAGTGTACCTGAAGTGTTTGTGCTAGGACTGTCTGGGACGCGGGACCTGTCAGACGTAACCGCACCAGACGATCCTTCAGTGACTCTATCTCCACCTCACCAACCTTCACCTTCAAGGGCACAAGCTCCTTCTCACTGTCAGTGTCATTATTTTGCAAATTGTTTGAACTTAGATTTGGTTTTATAGAATTATCTTTTGATGTCTCATTGTTGTCCGAGTCAGTAGGTACAGATTTGGATGTTATTGACTTGTCCTGGGGAGTATCATCTGTTTCTGTTTTATCATTGTCCCTATTTGAAATTCCTGTGCTATTTGCTGGAGTTACTGTCTTGACTTCCCCGGATGACTGGAATGATTTCTCCAGGTTCTGACAGATCTGATCGTGACAGGCAGGGTGGACCCATATCCATAAATGCCTGACAGTTTTCACTGTGATATCACTTCCTGTCACTGGTTTCCATAGAAATGAGGCACACCCAATGGCCTGGAGTGGATACTGATCGCAGCAGTAGAGCATGGTGTGACCTTCCCTAATCCCCGACAGACAACCTTTGGCTGCAAAGGTCTGGCCTACAATCAAACATGACAGATGTGTGTGTGTAGCACAGCTTAGGTGACTTATGAAGGAATTAAGGACAGGAATTTATACTGTAAATACTTTTACTTAGTGAAATGCTATTTCATGGCTTCAACGTCTTTCTGATGTTCTTTCCAGTTTCCCCAATGTATGCAATGGTTGCAGCTGTTACATGGAATTCTGTAAACAACCCTGTTTCGTCTTCCTTTAGCAATTTGTCTTTTGGATGAACTAATAATTCGGGACACGCCAATGAGAACATCAGAAAGACATTGAAGCTATGAAACAGCAACTATATAATAGAAATACAAGGAAGACATCATAGAAACGATACAATAAATCAGCCATTACAGACCACGACCCCATCATAGACTGGAACAACTTGAAAGTGCTGGACAGGGAGGACAACCTGAAAGTCAGGAAAATTAAAGAACCCATCTGGGTCAGAAGAGAAGGGGAATTGATCAATAGAGATGGAGGGGGGCCACCAGCTGATTCGGCCCACTGTGCCTTAGTGAGTTGTTTCAGCAGTTTAGAGTCGAGACACCCGTCATTTACACTCTTTGCTTGACAAAGGAAACAGATGTTGTTACAAGCTCACAAAATAAGTTTTCATTTTCTGTTTGTACAAAACAAACTTAGCATTTATGTAAGTTACCTGTTGAGTTATTGGTCATGTGACAAAGACCATCCAATAGGCAATGTTCTGGCCCTTTCAGCTCTATGCAACACATGTACGAATGGTCCTAAAATAAATAAAACAATTCAAACTATTAAGATCAGGAGGCCACTACAATCGTTAAGTCCTAGCAGATAAATACTAATGTGAGATCCTTTAGTCCTATTATATTTATACAACATGAGATCCTACAGTCCTTACAGATAAATATAAATGTGAGATCCTACAGTCCTAAAAGATAAATACTAATGTGAGATCCTACAGTCCTTACAGATGACTACTAATGTGAGATCCTGCAGTTCTAACAGATGACTACTANTCAGATTACTACTAATGTGAGATCCTACAGTTCTAACAGATGACTACTAATGTGAGTTCCTACATTCCTACAGTCCTAACAGATAAATACTAATGCTAGGCCCTACAGTCCTAACAGATAAATTCTAATGTGAGATCCTACAGTCCGAACAGATCAATACTAATGTGAGATCCTACAGTTCTCATTGATAAATACTAATGTCAGCTCCTACAGTCCTAACAGATTACTAATTTGAGTTCCAGCCAATCATTGTACCTGAATGAGACAATGGTGTTTTGTAGACCTGTAGGATGCTCTCTTGCTTTTATCGGTAGGTTGGATTGGAATTTTGTATCCCCATTTCTCCTCCATTTTGAATCGTTTTGCATGCCAAATGTGGGTCTCTAACCAGACATGCTTTCGCTGTCTTCTGTTGTATTCTTCCAGTAAATTTTTTGGGCGCCGACGAAACTTTCGACTTGGAGGTTTCCTCCGTGCCTTTGTATCCCGGTTGACATACTGGGGGAACAACAGAAATGTTTGATATTAATGTATTAATGTATAAGTATACGATAGTTACAGCTTAAACACTGGCGTCAGATACTATTGAATAGGATCAGTGGAATTTATCACAGCACACTCTGCAGAGTACTGTATTTATCCGGCAATAAGTGCATGCCCAGTAATAAGCCCATCCATATCTCCTGCAGTTCAGTAGCAATGCCACAAAATGAAATTTCATTTTCCTGTAATAAGCCAACCCTCCTAATTTGAGTCAGAGATTATGTGTTGACCCTCTGGACTTATTGCAGGATAAAGACAGTAATTGATAATAGATACATAAGATCTGCCTCTTAAATTTGCAGGTGCTCAGTAGAAAGTTTACAATATTTTATAAAAACCACAATAGATGATCTTGTAAATATGATAATTAACAAGAGATTCCAAAGGGGTCTTAGTGCCCACCATCATAAGAACTTCCTTAGTTCTCATGTAGTGCCAAGTGGCTGTTTCACAACATTAGCCGGAGTCCTACATATGTTTGAATTCACAATTATCTCTCTCCAGCTTCAGCTGATACCTGTCGACCTCTGAAAGTCCCATATCTGGTCATGATCAGACTCTGTAATACCTAACAGTTCCACCATCCTACACAACGACAAAGTGTCACAGAATATGCTACCTTGCTCAACATTTAGTGGTACAAGTAATATAATGTGAGTTAGTGTCATGAAAACTCAAAATAAATTTGATAGTCAAAATAGTGTTAGTGTTTCCCTGTGAGAGCAGAGTATTTCCCATGGTGCTGCATTGGGACGCTGTATACTGGGCAATTTTCACATAGCTAAACTTTCACCTGTTGCCCAAGAAATCAATTATCACCCAGAGTTATTTTTCGCCCTTCTCATTTCATAACTACCCGTAAGTTTATTATGTTGTTTACATATATTTCTGTCATAATAAATTGGCCCTCATCATGGAGGTCAAAAAAAAAAGGCAAAATTTGACTGCAGCGAAAATTACACTGTATACAGTATCTAAAACATGACATGTTAGTCATTTCACTACAGATCTGGTTTTAATACAAAGGGTCATATCTGGATAGACAATGTTCATCTGGTTATGAGCTGAAAAGTCTGGTTACTTGACAGGGATGCAGCTGTTCTTTGATACAATGCATATGAAGTAGTATCCTATAGAAATATAACTTGTTAAATGTCTATTTCCATGTAAGTTTTAGCATACTTCTTTCTTAGCAGCTTCCCGGAGTCGCCTTGGCAGTCGTTTGATGTTGTGACTGAGGGCGCGCCGCCTCAGACCTTTAGGGAGAAGCTGCATAACAAGACGGTTGCTCCTCGACACTCCAAGATACTTGTGCAGGGCCTTGATCTCTGCGGCTCGGTTCTCCACGTACTCTACCACCCCAATCTCTGTGTACAAAACATGTCCATGCTTTTAGCTGAAACTATTCTCACTTCTGACATAAAAACTAGAATACCATTTAAATGAACTCTAATCATTTATCTCTATAACTTTCATTTATTTCAACCTTGGTCATGTCCTCCAATAAATAGCTTGCTAACTGACACGTCGTTGACTCATTCTTACTTCACCTAGTCTTGAGGATTACATACAGAGTCCATTTGTTCCGTTTTTGTAAACTAGTATCAATATTAATGGAGATCTGTTACATACCTCTGGGTGCCTCTTTGAGTATGTCATCTCCCTCCTCCCTCTTACGCTTTGTTCCTTTCTGTTTAACCATCTACGTAAAAGAAAAGCAAACTCAAACGTGTTGAATTATATGTATTTAAATAGGAGCAATTTGGCTTCCATTTTTCTATCAAATTACTCATCAAATTATTTTTTTTAACATCCATAATCATAATAAATTTAAAACGAGACATTTGACAACATTTCTCATCTGCATCATGAAAGTCAAACGATACAAAAAATTAGTTACTTCATTATAACGTTCTTTTAATTGAAGAAAGCAGACCTGTGGAGTGCTTATGCATGCAAGTTGTTGTAGTATACTGTTTATTTTGCAAAACACTCCTAATGGGGTATTTTTCAATGTTTATGCCCATATGAATGCAAACTGGTTTCATACATATATAATCCATAGCAGGCTTCATCACAAGTATGTAAGTATCCAATTTGCGTTCATATCTGCAAAAAACATTGAAAAATGCAGTCTAATCTTTATATTTACATTTTAAATTTTATTATTTATCTAAAACAGGTATTAACTTATGATATTTAAGTGTCAGTGCGTGCATATGAGATTCCTGGTAACGCAATATTTGCTGCTTCATTACAGAAATCGTTAAGGCATGGTATAACCATCAGATACAAGGGATAAAACAGATGCAAGTACCAAAATTGCAATGATGAAAATCAACAAAGTCCCCAGAATTGGAGGTTTTAGACTCTTTTGCTTCACCGATTCACCTGTTTGTCCGATGTTTTAATATGCACAAAGAAATTGCGACCAAAATTGACTTGTTTGTTTACATGCATTCGTCCTATATATGTATAGTCAGATTTGACTATATATCCAAATTTGTCGGTGCTCCAGTCGACTTTTATGCCAACTGGACCTGTGGATATATATATATATTACGCCGATTCCTAAGCTGGCAGTGAAAAGTACAACATCAAAACAAGCCGGCAGTGAAAACTCTGTCATTCAGCATAATGCATTTTAAAAAGTTACCATTCCGTATGCCTGTAATTGCGTTCAAAATGGCAAACCACTTTCCTTCGTCCCACTCCACGTTGACTTGGTGGGCGCAGACATATTGGATTGAAGTGGAAGGGTGGTAGGTAAATCTTGTACCCCGTTCCCGGACCCGGACTAAAACCCCGTACCGGGAATATAAAGATATTTTAATATCTCATTAACGCGATCGTTTATCATTTTTATAAAACTATAGGATAATTTCAAACATTATTTTCTAAATTTGACAATTACAAAAATGTTTATTTATTATCGAATAATTTAGAAATCGACGATAATGTGTTTTTCAAGGGGGTAAAACTTGTACGCCGCAGTCAACCGTGAAAATCACGTTTTTTCACATATAACTAGAAATTTAGGGAAAATTAACATGTTATTTTCAGATATATTGAAGAAAATACCTTACTGTTTATAATTATGTAAGTTTCGTTGAAATAAACAACATATTTCACATGAAATTCTGACTTTGTTGTGTTCGCGGGTGTTTTGTTTACTCCCGTACCCGTACTAAGGGGACATAACTCCGTCAAGGCTCGTGCTAAATATGCATAATATGTAAAAAAAAGTTAATACAACTATTTCATTATTTCTTTTTCATTTAATTATCTGCTATTTTTTTTTACATGAATAAGAGAATTATCTCTTATCACAACACATCATACTCCGAATAAAACAAAACCTAGGTCTAGACTTTCTTTAACTCGTAAGAAATTGTCAAATATAATAGAAGAAAAAGAAGATACAAAAGATGTAAGTATTATAGCTGAGTCAATAGCAGACATACAATGTAGTGATGGTGTAAGTATATCTGAACCAGTTGTAAGTACCAGTCCTAAGGTAAAACAAAGAAGAAGACTTTCATTACCAAAAAAGAACAAACTGAATGTAAGTGATATTTTAGTGGATCTTTCAGATGACAGACCGTCGCTTATTAAGCCCGCAGAAACAAGACGTGTCTGGATGGATAATGGTAAAAGTACGCTAAGTTTTAAGGATAAAAATGATTTATTAATTGATAACAAACGATGTGGTAATATCATGTGTTACGTACAAGATAATTTAAAAAAAAACCAGTTTCCTAATATAGGCGGAATGCAAGATACAGGTTATGCTCCAATTTTGAAAAACAATAAGTGGGAACACGGAATTAGATTGTTATCTAAGTCCGTGGTGGGACTATGCACTCAGAATGAAACCAACTAGCGCTGCATCAGCACAAATTCATCATACAGGTGAGGACCATTGGGTAGTGTCAGTACAGGAGGTAGATAGTGGGGAAGTATACATTCTTGATAGTTTGATAGGAAATACGAAAAATAAGGGTCATTTGTCAGCTTCTTTAGAAATGCAGTTGTCATCATCATATGGGGAAAATAGAAAAGTTTTAAAAACAGTATTACCAAATGTGCAACAACAGAAAAACGTGGGTTGACTGTGGGGTTTTCGCTATTGCTAACTTGGTAGAATTTTGTTTCAATGGGTTTAACGGGAGTGAAGATTAGAGTTTGACACCACTTGCATGAGACAACATCTTGTAGAATGTATTTCCAATGGAATCCTTAATAAATTTCCTAGGAAAAAAATGAGTAGGCATAGGCAAAAGAAAACTTCTTTATCATTTGATATTTTTATTGATTGCGAAGCAGATGGGTGTCACATCTCAAATGTATTTGATGATATGGTTTCTTGTGATGCTGGCTGTGACAGATGGTTTCATAATAGATGTGTAAGTGATCTGTCAGATTTACATTTTTCTAAGACATTCAGAAAAAAAATGAATTATGTCATAAATGTGGACAAATGCATAACGATGTATATACCCACATAGTTTTACAATGTGATTGTACAGAAGACTTACGAGATCAGTTATGGTGTCAAGTCATTAATACATGTGAACTTATGTTTAGCGTATATTTACACTCTCATTCAGACTATGAATTATTTCACCTACTGATTGGTGGCAATATAACGTATGAACTGAATACATTAGAGTTAACAGAATTTCGTATGGCGTCAGTCAATCATATTTCAAAAATGCTTAATGTATACTTCGAATGATTCTTAACATTATTAATTATGTATTCTTTTGTAAACTGTACTCAAATTGATTAACTTATTTCTATTATGTTCACTTATTATGTTGTACACTAATTTTGCCTTACCATCTATTTGATTTTGTATCTTTTATCTTATATATCATTGTAATTACATTATTCTGTTTGTAAAATCTTCTTGAAGGAGGAAATAAAGAGAATAATAATAAAACATGACTACAGCTAATTTTTTATTTTAATAAATATATTTATAATTTTCTATTCAACTTAATCCTTTTTTTGTATTTTGTAATTTGTATTAAAAAGAACACAATTATTTCAATCATAAAACCATTTCTTCAAATAGAAGTTATTATAAAAA